TGATCGTTCTTCTGCTTGTCTTGGAAGCCCCTTCAGGAAGTTACCATCCTTGTCTCGCTTTAGGGTAAGGACCCAGCGACCAGTGACCCAGTTCCTGACCTGAATCTTGCGTGTGTCGACCAAGTCGAACACTTCGTGATCAAGCCAAGATTTGCACTCAAGCTGTTTAGCTTCAAGGAATTGCTTCTGATAAGCCTTTATTTCAGTGGCTGTCGCTTCCTTCCGCTTCTTGCCAACGAGTGCGGATGTGGATGAAGCCTTCAAGGATTCTTGCTTGGATGAGTACAAGACTAAAAGTGCACGGTCATCGTCGGTCATGTTCTTGCATAACTGGTCAATATGATTCTGATCTGTGTATTTCTGATGAGAGAATCCGCATCGTGGCGATGGGTTGAAGGTCCCCTTCACACGTCCAAGAAGGACAGGGTTGCCAAAGGATCCGGTGTTCGCGCAGATTTTCTGCTCGGCTGTCATGAATGACCAATGTGCTTCATCAAGAACGAGATCAGCTTGGTGATCATCGTAAGGTCTGGTCCTCTGAGAGTCCTCTGATTCTCCATCTTCCTGGTCAGTGTATCTCATGGTTCTTTCTGAACTTCCAGTGCCGGATGAGGTTGGAACATGAGGGATCAGTTCTTCCTCACTTTCATATTGTACCGGCAAGGTTGCTGGATTGTTCGGATTGTAATTGGATGAAGATGCAGGTTCATTTCTGGGAGAATGCTCAGGTGACTCATCATTGTCAGCTGGCTTCTTCTTCTTCTTCTTCCCAGTTTTCTGCTTCTTGGATGGACTGCCAGTCGTTTCTTCTTGCTCAAGTGTTGGCAGTTCAAGATCTTCATCATGGTCTTCTGCTTCGGGATTCGTTAGAATCGCAGGTGGTGAAGGTACCACGACAGTCGGAAGAATTGGCTGAGATGATTGCGACTGTGACGGCAAAGAGACATCACCCCCCAGTCGATTGAGTCCGCTTGAGGATGAAATGGACTGTTTTTGCCGTTTAAGCGCTGAATCTCCTCCGCCAGGTTTGTCGTGCGGCGGCAGTGGCGGATCCACTGGACTGTCCGGTGATACACTGCGTGGTGCTGGCGGCATGGGATGATCAGGCTGATGTGGAGGATCCGGAGGAGGATCTGACATGTTTTCGTCCGGTGGAGTTGGAGGTCTCGGATCAGGCATGGGATGGTCCGGTTGATCAGGTGGCTGCTGTGTGTCAGGTTGTGGAGGTTCATCCGTTGGATCTGATGGATCCGTCTCGATGGGCATCGGCCTGATAGCCGGCGCATCTGAGAATGACTGATGAACGGATGAAAACATCACGGCGTGCCAAGTCTTCGGATCATAATTCTCCCAATTGCATTTGGATGCAGGCAAGACCCAAATTCTATTCAGCTGATCAGGCTGCCAGAACGATATGATCGCATCGTCCGGAGGTGACGTAATTGGCATGTTGATGCCTATGGTGTGGACGTATGCTGTGCATGCATCATCCTGAGTGGATGAAATGCACAATTGTCTCAGCTTCTTGCAACCATTCCACATGTTCTGACATCGCCAGTCATTAGGATCTTGTTTGAAGATATCGATTTCAGTCCCCGGTGAATACGGCTTCATCGTCTTCTGAAACTTCTGGACTAGCGGATCTTGGATGACCAATGGTTGAACGTCCTTGTTGAACTCCTTGTCAATGGCTTCCATCTCCTTTCTCAGGATGTCAACCTGCTTGATGGTGAATGGTTCGAAAAGGTCCTCCAAGAGGTACACCTCGTTGTCAAGTGGTTTCACCTTCAAGTGTCGTAGGAGGATGTGCGCAAGATCCTGACAGAACTGGTAAGGATACACCTGTGCCAGTTTGGTCCTGCTTCCAAAAGTACCAGCATTTCCCTCTAGGGGTTGATGTTCATGCTTGACTGAGCTGGTAGAATTTTTACACCTTCTGAAGATCGGTCTCATTACCTCGGGAGGTAAGCAGTGCATCAAGCTTGTGGGCTTGAGACTTCTGGGTCCGGATTCAGGATCTTTCAGTCCGTATGCACAGAAATGGAAATCTCCCCAGGTCACGGATGGATCAGAAAACAGTTGCTGCATACAGTTCAGATACCATATCTTGGATGTCTGAGGATTTTCAATGATGAAGTATCTTCCGTGCTTCAACTGATATCGCGCAATGGATGCCACAAACTCAACCATGGGAAGGTAGCGTTTCCGCTTCTCCCAGACTCTTTGTTGGTCTTGTTGGATGTTCTGCATATTTGACCATGGTCCACAGACCGGTGCCATGAGGATTACATCAGGTGCTTGATGATCTACATGACCATGTGTCGTCCCTTGGATGTCATTACGTCGAATCCGGTGCGGATGTCTACGGGAGTCCCAACCTTGAGGCCTGAGAGTGCGCAGCATTGACTGAATCTGGCACTTCCTGCAAAGATCTTGAGAACGTGGATCTTTCCTTTACGTACACAATTCCAATGTGCTTGTTCAGGAACGGATGTGAGGTCCTCGACGAACATGTTCTCTGCCGGATGAGGTGCTGCAGGTTTGGGAGTTGTCTTTCCCGCTATACGTAATGGCACTGAGGATTTTGGCTTTGGAGCTGGTGCGGATGACTCCTTCTTCTTGGTATCGGCAGAGGAGCCGGTTTGCTCCTTCTGCAAGGATTCTCGCTCTTCTGGCAAGAGAAGGTCAATTCCAGGTTTCTCCGGAGGGATGGTTTCATCCTTTCTGACCTTCGTCATGTTAACCTTGATGAGTCGAGTCCCAAGATCAAGTCCTACCATTGCTCCTTCAATGGAAATGACTTTTCCTTTTAGCCATATTCCTCCCTTGCTTCCATCGGAACGGATCTTGGATTTGTCTTCCTGCAAGTAAAATACCTTCCGAAAACTTCTGGCTGAGCATTGGTATAGCAGCAAATGCTGTAGACCTTCTTGGTGAAGTCCATGTATTGTTTCTCTGTATGTTGGCCTTCACCTTGAAGCGTTGGCTGCCAGTATTCATTGAATCTAGCTCTCAGCCAGAACACCTTGACTCCATGTTGTCGTTCATGCTCAGGAATGAAGTGGAAGTCCAGATTCATCTCGAGGATGGTTGAGCGCTCCTTGTAGTATTCGTACACGAAGTTGAGGCATCGGGAATTCCGAAAGGTCCTGGATGTACGGTCTTTGGAGGCTGATGTCGGTATCTGATCCGTCTGGTACATACCACCGATCGTTGGATGTGAGAGTTGGCCGCATCGCTGGTCGTTTTGGAAGTGCAGGTCGGTCACCAGGATGATTGTCGGATTCTGTCTCCTCATCCAGTATGTTCTTTGGTGCTGGCTTAATCTTTGACATAAGCCTCAGTGTCGGTGGTGGTGACTTCGGAACCAGTTTCGGATGTGGCATCGCCTTCGGCATTGGATTTCCTGCGAGAGGTTGCTCTTCGTCATCCAGGTCATCATCGTTGTCGGTATCTCGATCATAATCAACCTGCTCCATGTTGTCTCGTCGGATGTCTTCGGATTGACGTGCTTCTTGGAATGCTTGCTTCGACAGCTGTTTGATCTGAATGGCTGTCAGCTCCTCTTCATTCCTGTCAATCGTCAACTGAGTTGGTGTTGCGACATCGAGTTGGATGAGATCTGCTGGTCGTCTTCCGAATGCAAGCTCCAATGGTGTTACACCCCCGTAGGTGACAGTCTGATTCCTGACAGTTGCAGCTGCCTTCGCCAGCTGTCTATATGTCACTTTCTTCAGTGTTGCAGGTGCTGTGCCTGCCTTGATGGAACTTAGCATGATCTCAGGAGTCGAACTGCTGCTTCAGCTCGATTTGGCCATGGTGTGTTCGGTCCCAAGGATATCGGCGTGATGTCAAGGGACTGATAGAAATGTTCCATGTCTCTGTCATGAAGGCTTGATCTGCGACAACTGATTTGGGCTGCAAGTGGTACTGGTCAAAATAGTTCCTGAGGACAGTGATGTTCTCGACTTCTTGCGTAGTTGTCACTGCCTCTGCAGTGAGCAATGTTGTTGCTCCATCCAGGATGACAAAAACAATGATGTGTTCTCCTGTTCCAAGAGGATCTTGACAGTGATCAATGAATGTCATGTCACCAAAGGTGTCCGCTCGAAGTCCACTCGTCTTGCTTCGTGATGGTGCATGTTTTGCCGCTTGGCAACCTTCACATTCACTTCGGATTTTGGCAAATAGATCGAATGTTGATTTCGGCAAATGAAGTGAGCGAGTTCTAAATCGAAATTGATCAATTGATCTGTTGTCATGCGATGATGCTGGAGGTGGAGCTTCTTCAACTCTTCGGGATTTGACAATCGCTTGTGGATTCTGCCTAGTGCAAGCGGAAGCGTCGTTGGTTCTTCTGGACTGCCTTGTACATCTAGGCATCTCCTGTGAGTCTGCTTTTGAAGAGGTCCTCTCTTGGGTGCTTCCACCGTAGTGATTGTCACCCAATCATCCACGAGTTCTTCATACCTGAACCAGCTGACTTTTCCGTCGTACGATGGCGGCTGCTTGGCGGTCATCGATAAATTGAGTGTTTCCTCCGTATAGCCTGATGGTTTGGCCATACTTGAATAGGCTTCCATGAAGCCTTCTCCATCGGATGACATTTTCCCTTGGATCTCTGCGGAAAACCCGCTCCGCTACCACAAATTGAGGCCCACTGCCGGGGTGCCTATCTCAGAAGGAACCCTGTGGTAGTATTTGGTCCCTGGATCTATTCCGGAGAGCGTCCAATATGCCAATATGGAGGATTGGAGGATGGATTGTCCCTGGTGGCTTGTGTTGACTGTGATACCTGTAAAGCGGTCTGCAAGCCTGTTTATCAATGTACCATGAATCGAATGACTGTACAAATGACTTGAAGGGCCTTGAGCCATCATGTCAGCGGAGTGTGTGAATAGGTCAATGTGCAACAAAAAGCAACACAGGGGGGGGGGCGGGAAGCACCGGGTCCAGCAATTCTGAGCAGATCCCTTCCGCAGCGTGTACAGTTCCGCCAGGACCCCTCGCCTGGTCAGGAAGGAGACAATCGCCAATACTGTGTTGGAGGTGTGCAGAGGCCGCGTTGGACCTTGGCTGCCGCGCGTTTGCTTTGTTTTTTGCTTTCTTGCATGTTTGTTTGTTTGTTTGTTTGTTTGTTTGTTTGTTTGTTTGTTTGTTTGGGTGCTTGCTTTGTTTGTTTGTTTGTTTGTTTGTTTGTTTGTTTGTTTGTTTGTTTCTTTGTTTCTTTGTTTCTTTGTTTCTTTGTTTCTTTGTTCGTTTGGTTGCTTGTTTTCTTGCTTACTTGCTTGAGTCTGCTTTCTTTCTTGTTTGTTTTTTGTTGCTAACTGTTTTGCTTGTTTGTTTGTTTGTTTGCTAGCTTGCTTGCTTGCTTGCTTGCCTGCTTTTCGTTTGTCACAGTATGCTCTTGCTAATCTATAGCTCTGAGATCACACCAACCATGAAAAGGGTCCCCATTTCGACACCTGCTTACTTTTTCTCGATCTGCGAAAACAGCGCGTTGGGAGTCGGGTGGAAAGGGTGGCCTCGAATTGCTTTGAGCTTTATCGCAGGCCAATACCAGGCGAACCTTGGGCCAATTTTCAAAAGTCAGCACGGAAGAGGCAAAGCAGGGCATGGCAAAGGACATGTGACCGAGCCTTGCGGTTGCGGCACTCGTGGCAGGCAACGGTATGGATCCCTGGGCTGGCATCTCAGTAGCGGGCTGGGCTTCAATCAGGGAAACCAACTAGCAGGGATACAGGGGGAACCAGGGATACGGGAGGATTCCCCCGTTTGATGCACCTCTAAGTTTGATATGGGACATGGCGCCAAGTTGGAATCCTCTATCCCCGGTCCCTCTGTATCCCCACTTGTTCGTTTGTCTTGGCTTCAAGCCCGGAGCTTTCGCGGGCTGAGGCTTTCACGGAGGATGCGGTCAAGGCGGAGTGGTGCAAACACTGCGTGCCCCACGGCGTGTCTTTGCCATCGTGCTTTTTCTCATGGCGTGCCCCACTGCGTGAGTGCGGCCAGGGTGGCATGAAAGCTGCGTTTTTTTTGGTCCATCCGCAGATTTCGGAGCTCGGAGTTTTCGGCCAGAGTGGGGTGAAAGCTGCTGGCGTGTGGGTGTGTCCTGTTTTATGGGACACCTCAAAATGGTGGGTTGCCTTTTTTTTAAACCACGGAACTCCAACAAGGAAAGGCCCATCTATAGCCATTGGCCTGCACTAGCCGCGCGGTTGAAGTGGCCTCTTTGTGTATGCCAGGTCTCAGCCACTGTGGTCACGAGCTACAACAGTCGGGTTTACAGGAGCCGAACGTCCGGGACCGTCTTCGTTTGATTTGACGTATCGCTTGGAGAGGAGCCTTTGCGCAATTCTATGACATGCCAAGGTTGAGTGGAATATTTCTGGCACCGGATGCTTTTGACCAGCAGGATGTTCTGTCCCACCCGACTTTAGCAGCGCAACATGGTACGCATTATTGAATTTCCAAAACGATGTTTGCGTGACATGTTTCGTTGCATTGTTCCAGGATCAAGGCAGTGCACTTCGACATGAACCCCGCTGATAAGCCTCCGTCTCAATTTCATAGCAGCATGGTTTGTTGCCCACGTTGCGGGCAACAGGCGAGCTTGTTTGAGGGTTCCCATCAGACTTTCAGACTTGAAGAGAAGGCCGGCAGGCAAAATTACGTAGCCCTGTCTGCAAAGTCATGAAAGGTTCACGTAGTGACGTCCAAAAGGGGGTCACGCAAAAGGCTCAGGCAAAATGCAGTAGGAGGGCAAACGGAACAGCACCAATGAGCACTAGCCATTCAGTTGACTGGCTGAAAACCGAACGCTGATATCTGCGCCACAAAGGGTGTTCACTGTGTAGCAAAGGGAACTGCTCGCTTTAAGCCGAAATGCAAATTGCAGAGTCCACTGGTGGCAACTAGAAGCACTCAAAATCCCCCTTAAAGTGCATGATTCTTCATTGAAGCATGATGAGTGCAGCCCCTCCTGGGCGAGACGCACACTGAAGCAGATGTCATCGTTGCAAGCTGGCAATTGCGAAGCGGCTGTAGGTTCACGATGTACCACCGCGACTCCAAGGAGTATACCAAACTCAGCTATGCCGAGTACCTTCAGGTTGGACATCTGACACGCGGGGATCAGATCTGTCGGCAGGCCCTTCGGAGTTCCTCAAAGTTCCGTGTGCAGGTTCTTTGGTGCGATATCAGATGGAGGCGAAGAGTGCACCTTCTGGGGATTCCTTTTTATGAGGCAGTCTCCAAGTTGAGAAACTTGGCCCCGAGATTTTGGGGCCAGCGACCTGATCTCATTGACGCTGCAGCTTTTGGGAGAGAGGGCGCCCCGCGGTTCTGGGGAAGAGGAATAGAAATTACTGATTTGTCCATGACGGAGCGTGGTCCGTCAAGAATGTGGTTGCCTGCGGGCAGGCCTTCTACAGCATGCCCTGCACACACGAGAACCAGCCGCTGCTGGAGGCGTATCCTGAGAAGGCGGAAGTGGGAAGCCGCGCGAGGTATGTGGGATGGTGTGAATTCGGATTTGGGTCAATAATTCAGCCACCCCTTTTTTCCATTTCCAGTGTTCCATTTTTGGGTACCGATTCTTGACCCACACCCAGTTCATGTTATGCTTCTCTTTTGTGCCCTTATCCGCCTTTTGTTGTTGTTGAAAACCTGATGGTGTTCCATTCACCCAAAGGTTGAACCTATGCAAGTGTCTCGGTTGCGTTGGTGCAAGTTTCAACCGTGTATTGCATATAGTGACCATGATCATTGGAGGACAATGAGTCCTGAACAGGCGTCTCTGAATACATATACGTGGACTGTGCTTAGGGCGAGGCATGTCTTGCTTCATCTAAGAGACATGGTAGAAGTTCACGGACAGCCCATTAGCTTTTCAATGTTGAAAGAGGCTCTCTTTTAGTGTCAGAGGTATCGACCAAAGTCCAACTTTGATACAATCATGCTTTGCGTCAAGCGGTGTTTTTCAGAGCCTTCTGGGATGTTGGAGGGATGGCGCCTTAGGTGTGGCCCTGCTCTTGATAGTGCGGGAGTCTTTTTTCTTTTCTCTCTCTCTCTCTCTCTCTGAATCAAGCAGTGGTGTTATATATTCTAGGGACCTCCACGCTGCATGACTTGGAATGAACAGATGGCCAGGACAGCGTCTATGCGCCTGCCATCAGCCCCCCATCCACAGAACCACGCAGACGCGCACACACACAAACACACACACACACACAAACACACACACACACACACACACACACACACACACACACACACACACACACACACACACACACACACACACACACACACACACACACACACACACACACACACACACACACACACACACACACACACACACACACACACACACACA